GCGTCATCGATTTCACCAACCACTTTGGAGTATATTCGGCTATCCGTTGTGACAGCTGATGGTTTGTTCTGCCTATGTATGCGTCACCGCAACTGCAGGTGAACTGGTATACAGTGTGTGAGACGGAACTGGTTTGCCAGCCATGTTTACGTTTGTCCAAATCGATTCCACGAGTGGATGCGATGAGTCTGAGTTGAGCAGCTGGGAATGTACGGTCTAGAGCTGACCTCAACTTCTGGCGCACATCATCGCGGATGTGATCACCTTTGAACACAAGCTTGATGTAGATGGCCTTTCTGTCGACGTTTTGGGACGGGTTACCTTTTAGAATTGGTCTACTGTGATGAATAGTGAAGCATTGCTTGTTCGATTATATCACCCGACCCTGTGCGCACAGAAGTTTTTGATACAAGCGATCCACTTACCGTGGAGTTGACCTTCTACTTTTAAATTTAGTAATCATTGTATGCTTGTACACGTTTGTTCACTAAAATTGATTAATCCCATGTGTTATATATGTGCCTGTTTATTTTAAGTCAGCGACTGAGAAGATTAAACGAAATGTTAACATTTCGCGACATTTGTCTTCTTTCTGTTGTGATGAAATGGATAAAGGGAACTCAGTGCTTCAAGGCTCTAAGGCAGTTTCATGTTTAGTACTATAACCACGAACTAAGAATGATTCACTCAGTTTCAGATCAACATGTTGTCAATGGTTTCTGTGAAGTGTATTGTCGACAACCTGCCAGTTTGAGGTCGGTCTAAATGTTTAGACGACTCAGCATTGTGAACCAAATTGTTTCTATTACATAATCATTTCTTGGAATAAATGAATACGATAAATTTACATCCTGCTTTGGTTTCAGCCTCCTCATTTCCCGAAAAGAAGGACAGTATTTACAGTCTTGCCATGAATCCCTCGGGTACTCTCCTTGTTTCTGGCAGTCCAGATAAAATCATTCGTGTATGGGACCCGCGAACATGTTGCAAACTTTTTCAATTGAGTGGACATGCAGATAATGTTCGAGCTCTGATTGTTCGTCCGGATGGACAAGAGGTACGACTACTTTGTTTGCCTCAAGTTATTCAGACTCATCCTTGATGCCATGAGAATCACATTTTTTGTAACGTTAGTTACCTGGAGTGCTATCAGCACTGCTTGGCGTTCTGTTTGTCTTTACTATGTACAGTGTGATGGATAGCTGCATTTTAATTCAATCTCCAGTGGAGTAGGCTTACGCACAAGCCGCGGATGATCTCTGAAATCACTGTGCTTAATGAAGGTGTACAATATATGGAAACCCCACGGAGTGAGTCTGTGATCGAAGTGCTAAGTACATTGCTCAATCTACGTGCAAAGTGCTTGCTTCGGGGTTGACAGAAAAATGAGTGAGCCATCAATCCAATTTGAACCCGATGGACAGCATCCCAGGAGTCCCAACGACCGTTGCGCATGACAAAACCTTCAACAATGTTCGATGACGAGCTACATGCCGGACCCGGTTTACAACGCTTTCCTTCGCTTTTTCCTGATATACAACCGTAAGAGGTGGCTCTTACGC